ACCTTGCCGGACAGTTCCTCCAACTTGTATGCTCCATTGTGGAGTCCATGCCGCACCCGGAACGGGCCGTCCCAATTGGCCGAGAGCTTGCCTTCTGAGGAGTTGCGCCTTGCCGACCCGGTTGCTCTCCATACGAGATCGCCTTCATGAAACGACCTATTAATTTAATTATTAAATTTTTATTCTTTAAAAATTATTTAATTTAAATATTAAATATGTTTTTTATATTCTAAAAACTTAACTAAATTATTTTGTTAAAAAATAGTATAATTCTTTTAAAAATCTGAAAATTATAAATTGAAAAATGAAAAATAATAATAATAATAATTTCTACAGTGCAAATTTCTGCACTCCGTAGTTTAATTCAATCTACGGTGCGATGATGGCCCATATGAAAATATAAATACAAAATGAATGAAAAATAATAATGTCATGGTACTGGTTACTATTTTGAAGGGAAATTTTAGTGCAACTCTCTTGCAATCTAAAATCTAGTTTACTCTGTAAAGTTTACACATCGATTTAAATATGTACACTTAAGATCAAAGTAAGTCTCGTAAGTACTATCCAAAAGAATAATCTCATAAGTACTATCCAAAAGAATAATTAGTATGAAAGAAAGTATAATAAATTAAAATTGTCTCTATATCACTTCTTATATAGTGTTTGAAGAATTAGTTTATTGACAAATAATTAATAAAAACTTTTAATATAATAGTAACAAAATAGTTAATATGTCAATAATATTAATGAAATAATTAGCACTTATATATCATTATTTTTACAATCTCCCACTAATGATAAATAAATGAAAGAGAGAGAAAACAAATTATGGCTAAAGAAAGTAGGAAAGTTAGTAAAATGTAACTCTATTTTGTATTACCTTTAAATACTTTAAAAGGCATAAAAATACATTCCAAAAGTCACTATTGGAATTAAGTGTGTATCTACCCTATTTGCTTTAAAGCATATGTAAAATCAAGCTAGTACAATTCATAAAATACATACTACCAATTATTTTTGCATACTCAAATTAAGAAACACTACTTTATCATATTTTTAAGATGAATGCTATAATCATATGGTTTTTTATGATGTGCAACATTAAAACTATTGAAATTTCCTTAATAAAATTTTAAATATAATAAGGTTGACTTTGAAATAAACCATTTTCAATTTTTTTTTTGTATTTTAATAGCTAAAATCACACAAGTTTCTCTTAAGTCTTTGATCTTAAATTTATAATTTAAAGTCTCTTTAATTTTGATCACCACTTTCAAGACGTCAAATAACAATATATCGTTATATGACATCACAATTAAAATCAATCTTTTTTACATACACACAAGAATCAAGAGTAATTATTCACTACAAAAAAATTAGTTAATTAGTGGCCGTTTTTTTCAGCAGTTTTAATAAACCGCTACAAAATTTTATAGTTCTGGCGGTTATTTTAACCGCCACAAAATAATTAAAGTTTTGGCGATTTTAAGCTGCCACAATGTTTAAATATTCGGATATGTATTTATCAACTCTTGTCACCACGTATACAATTTAATTAAAAAATATTTTTATTCTTATTAAAAAATTAAAAGAATAAAAATAAAAGAGTTAAAAAATTTAAATTTAAAATAAAAAAATCCTACCTAGATCACGTTCTCCTTCGCGTCACACATGCTTTGCTTTGCTTCTTCTTCTTCTTCTTTTGTTAAACCTTCAGCTTCACTTCACGCTCAACACAATTGTTGAGCCAATTTGCGATGAAAGCATTTCGCTAAGTGTTCAATTTGGGGATAGTGATTTCGCAAGAGCTTTTTAAGCTTTCTCTTCTCTACGTCGTTCTTCGATCGATTGCTTCCATTTAAGGTGAGTTTTCGATTCATATCCATTTTGATTCCCTATTTTTGCTTTGTATAATATTTCCAAAGGAAATCTGGACTCTGGTTCCATTTTGGTTTGAAATCTTCGAAGAGGAAGTTTGCTAAAGTGCCATTGCTCATGAGCTCATATACCAGAATGCGATGTTCTCCCTCATCACAATATCCAAGTGGCCGAACCAAGTTTTTGTGATGAGTTTGGCTAATCACATTCACTTCTGTTTTGAATTCCTTATCGTTGTCTTTGAGCATCTTGTGCAATTTCTTAACTGCAATAGTAACCTAATCTGTTGTTCCTTTAAAGACAATGCCACAAGACCCCCTTCTCAATTCTTCTTTGAAGTTATTTGTTGCTCTCCAAAGGTGAAACTGCGCAAATTTCTCTCTGCAACAGTTTTATTGGTAGAACTTCTTCTGTTGTAGTAAACATATAAACCAATACATACTGCACTGACCAGCATGAGATTCACTAAGACAGAACCTCCTAGAAGGACTGGATTAGATTAAGATAATTATTGTTTCTGAACATTTTTGGCTGTGATTTGAAGACTTGTGTAGGTGTTTGATGTTTATTATACGATGAACTAATTCTTCATTTATTATTTTTTAATGCAGATTATTCAAGTATATGGATTTTATGATGAATGCCTTAGAAAGTAAGTTTAGAAAGTAAGTTCTCAATACCATCATTTATAGGTTTTATGGAGCAAAAGTGAAAAACATGAGATGCTTCTATCTTGAGAAAATATTGTTTTTGCCATGAATGTTGGACTAGCTACTTGGGAAGAGGAAGATGCTTGCCAATGTCTTTGAGATCTAGGTCGTGAAGTGTCACCCTGCTGTTCACTCTTGCAGTGGATTTTGATGTATGAAGCATTGATTGGAGGTCGGAGAGATTTGTTCAAATTGTTTGGGAGGCGAGAACCACTTGCCTTACACAGCCCTGTAAGCAGTCCTGGAAATCCCAGGGGTTTAGAAACTCCTATAAGAGAAGGAGTAGAAAGGACGACCTTGTGTATTTCATCAGAAATAATTAAAGTTATGTCTACGCCATCCTTAGTCAAAATAGAGTAGAGAAGGGTTGCCCTGGGCATATTCAGATCAGAGATGTGTATAATAGAGTACACATTGCAATACAGAAAATTTTGCCAAATGCGTGCAATAGTAGTCAAGTTCTTTCTAAGAATTGAGACTGGATTTCCTGTCACCCCCACAGTATAAGTACAACCTGGCAAACATAGAAGCTTCACCATTTTATCAGCCTTAAAAGCACGAGCCTTCTTCAGTCGGCCATACTCATCAAGTCCATCATCTCCTAAGCTGTAAGGGCTTCCCAGATATTCATTAATGGCGTCCCTAGCATAGCTGACTATGACTTCTCTCACCCAACTGTTCCTTGTTTGATCATGCTTCTGCAGAGGGAAAGCATTGGCATAAAATTCCTTGATGATATCCTCATTATATTTATTTTCTGGGGTAGCCAATTTGTTCCACTTCCTTCTTATTAGCTCTCCTTGAAATTCCATATATTCTCCTGCATTTAACTCCACTCTTCTTTCAGCAATTTTCTGTCTAGGCTCCAATTCCGCAAACCTTTGCTGTTTAGACTTGGTAAGGAATCGTTGCCTATCCAAACAGATTGGAGCAACAGTTTGTGGGGCAGGCTCATCATTGTCTGAATCATTAGGAGGAGGGTTGGAAGAAGCTTGACCCTTCCTTTTCTTGCTTGCAGGAATCTCATGAGTGTGGGAAGTAGTTTTGGTTCTGGCCATCTACATTGTATTCAAATAAAAATAAGGAACAAAAAAATTGCATTTGTTAGAACAACTCCAAATAATTAACTCAACAGGGTATAAACGGCTCAGCCCCTTGAAAGGGCTGAGCGCCTTGATCACTGTGGCTTCCTGTCTTCAATCCGCTCAACTCCTTGAAAATGCTGAGCGCTTTAAACATTTTGAGTTTCTGTCTCTAATCCGCTTAGCGCCTTGGAAGCGCTGAGCGCTTTACTTCCAGAATTGTTTGCCCAATATAATACTTCTGTATCCTCACAATCCATGAAAGTAACAACCTTTAACCCTTATGAGCACACGAAGGTTTAAAATTAATAGAACTATTTTAGAAATCCAAACCCTAGATCATGAATTATAGAGGAATGTAGCAACTTAACCATGCGAGATGAAATGTAAACTTAAATTTGAAGAAAATGGAGGCAACAGAGAGTTACGAATGAGATTGTCACTTTATAACGAAGAACGGACAACATGGGAACATACCTGGGATTTGAATGTGACTTGGTGATGTGTGCAAGAAGAAGAGAAAGAAAACAAAGCGCAATGTGAGTGAGAGTCTTAATTAGGGTTCTAGTGTAAAGTGAGCGGCTAGGGTTCTACAATAGGAATGTTCTTTTTAACTTCTCAGCATGTGGGCTTTTTGTTTTAATTGGACCTAAGCCCGACTCTCATCCGCTTAGCGATTTTGAAGCGCTGAGCGCTTCATCTCCAGTGAGCCTTCCAATTCTAGGTGCTAAGTGCTCTAAATTCGCTAAGCCTTTTGGCTCCAGAGAGCAATGCAGTCTCAAGTTCTGAGCCATTGAAAAGAGTTGAGCGGTTTGGCTCTAGGGACTCTTCCAAAGATTTTATTCTTCCAAGGCGTTCAACCACTCAGAGGGGCTGAGCGCTTTACTTCCAGAGGCTCCTCTCATAAAATTTTCACATGAGGCGCTGAGCCTCTTAAAAGTGCTGAGCGCCTTGACTCTAGAGACTCCTCTGTTTTACCCTCTGATGTGAGGGGATGAACCCTTTAAAAGGGCTGAGCCCTTGGTTCTTGGGACAAAACTTTATCACTTATCATTGTATAATCTGACCCAATTTCCCTTTATTTCCCCTTCTTTACTTATCTACAACAAGCACTTAGACAAAAAGGAGAATGAATGATATGAATCAAACATATGCACAATTTTTACCCTTAGTATCATATCCTAAACTTAATTACTAAAACATCAAAACATAACTGAAAGTAAATATGCAAATACTATAGATAAATGGAACTAAGTTCAAAACATGTTGACTGGGTTGCCTTCTAGTAAGCGCTTCTTTATTGTCATTAGCTTGACACTTCACTCAGTCATGGATCATTGAGAAGAATAACAGTGGTAAGTTTCTCAACCTCACCACCTAGGTATGGCTTAATTCTTTGTCCATTTACCTCCAAAATCTTCCAGAATTGGGCTCTTCCAACTCCACTACCCCATAAGGTTTGACTGATTTGATCACAAAGGGACCTGACCATTTGGACTTGAGCTTTCCAGGGAATAATCTCAACCTGGAATTGAACAACAACACTTGTTAGCCTGGTTGGAAGTTTCTTTGCACAATTTTCCTGTCATGGTAGGATTTGACCTTACTCTTGTAAATTTTTGAGGATTCATAAGCCTGCAAACGCATTTCTTCAAGTTCATGTAATTGAAGTTTCCTCTTTTCACCTGCAGCTTTCATATCAAAATTTAATGCCTTCTCTACTGGTATGGCTAATGAAAATTTTCTTTCAGCTTCCAAACACACTTCATCCATCACATCCACTCTAAAAAAATCTTTCTTGTCATTTGGGTGTTTCATAGCTTCAAAAATATTAAAATTCACCTCATCACCCTGCACCCTGACCTTGAGTTTGCCATCATCAACATCTATAATGACCTTAGCTGTCTTCATAAATGGCCGACCCAGAATGAGTGGAACCTCAGAATCCTCTTCCATGTCCATGACAATAAAATCAACTGGAAAGAAAAATTTATCAACCGTAACCAAGAGATCTTCAACAATACCATGCGGGTACTTAATAGATCTGTCAGCCAGCTGTAGAGTCATCCTGGTAGGTCTCACCTCCACATCTCCTATCCTCTGTAACATGGATAAGGGCATAAGATTAATACTAGTCCCTAAATCCAACCATGCCTTCCCCACAGAGAGATTGCCAATGGTGACTGGCAAGGTGAAACTCCTTGGGTCGCTAGATTTTTGCGGAAGTGATCTTTGAATTATAGTGTTGCAACCTGCCTCTAATTCCACTGTTTCATCCTCACTAAGTTTTCTCTTCTTTGTCAAAAGCTCTTTCATGAATCTTGCATAAGATGACATCTGTTATAGGGCCTCTGCAAAGGGTATGTTGATCTGCAGCCTCTTGATTATATCAAGGAACCTTGCAAACTATCGTTCCTTATCTTTCTTTGATGGAGCATGTCAATAAGGTAGATTCTTCATAGGAGGAGGCCTATTAACCTCTTTCCCCCCTTTCTTCTTACTCTCCTCCCTCACATCTCCATCTCTCCTCTCATTTTTTTCACTCTTTTTTTTGTCATTTTCTATTTTTCCTGCCTCTTTATTCAACTCCACCTCTTTCTCACTTTCAAGCTCAACTTCACTTTTTTCTTTATCTTGTTCATCTTTATTTTCTCTCAGATTATCACCTATCCCCCTTCCTATCACAGTGCCTCTCCTGGTTGTAATTGACTGACAATACTCTTTAGGATTGACTTGTGTATTGGCTAAAAAATTATTGCTTTGCTACTCTACCAATTGCTTATCCAATTGCTCTATTTGTACTTCCAGATTTCTGATAGAAGCTTCAGTATTTTTCTGATTGGTTGTGGAAACCTGCATGAATTGCGTAAGAGGTTCCTCCATTTTTTATAACCTGTCTGGCTGATAAGAAGGTTGATTTTGATATGGCTTCTGCGGAGGTTGCCTTTGTGATGGCCCTGCTTCTTGCTTCCAACCAAAATACTGATTTTGATTGTTCCTCCAATCTTGATTCTGATTGTAATTGCTAGAGAAATTCCCTTGCCTTCCTGGATTATTCATGTAATTCACTTCCTCCTCCTGGTCTGGTTCAGTAATGGTGCAATGTCCATTTGGATGATCACCTGCACAAAAATCACATCTCATTACCTGCTGAGGGCGTGAAGATGATCCCACTTGAAGCTTGGACATTTGTTTCTTTAATTCTTCCATTTGCTGAGAAAGAAGTTTATTCTGAGCTAGTATTGCATTTTGAGTATCCAGTTCCAGAATTTCTCTTTTTGTGGGCTGGCTTCTATCATGGTGAGCTTGATAATAACTGGTTGCCAAAGCATCAATGATAGTGATTGCTTCCTCGGAATCCTTCATCATCGTAGAGCCACCTGCAGAAGCATCCAATAACATTTTTGTTTGTGGCCTTAACCCATTACAGAACATGTTGAGCTGTGCAACATCATCAAATCCGTGATTTGGGCATTTTCTCAATAAGGATTTATATCTCTCCCAAGCTTCACAGAGAGGTTCATTAGTGCCTTGAGAGAAAGTTGCAATTGTTGATTTGACACTTATATATCTGGACGGAGGAAAGAATCTAGCTAGAAACTTTCGCTTTACATCTTCCCATCTGGTCAAACTCTGATTTGGGTGGGCTTGCAACCATGTCTTGGCTTTACCTGTCAAAGAAAAAGGAAACAATTGTAGATACACCGCTTCTTCATCCTCTTCAGGAACGCCCATAGTACCAATGAGTTCATAGAAAGTAGATAGATGAGTGTAAGGATCTTCATGATCCATCCCTACAAATTGATTGGTAGTTATGAGAGATAATAATGCTGGTTTCATTTCCACCCCCTTGGTTGGCCTAGCAATACTGGAGAAGTGCCTAGGACCCAACTAATGATTATATTCTCCTAAGAGTCTCCTTGGGGGATGATGACGTGGTCTATCACCACCTGATCCTTCTTCAACCATTGATTCAGGAGTGGAATGTTGAGCTGAAACTAAGGTGAAAGTACCTTCCTGTTCCTGCCTTTCCTGTTTAAGCTTCCTTTTCCGCCTTCTTTTACTATTTTTTTTCCTAACTATTTTCTCAATCTCTGGATCAAATAGCAAATGCTCAGCAGCAATTTTACCTCGCATACAAAGAATGACTTAAACAGAAAAGTTAGAACAAACAAGTCCCTGGCAATGACGCCAAGAAACTTGTTGGTATTTCGAGCAAGCGCACCCAAGTCTCTGTAATATAGTATAAAGGTTGTCGATCCTCAGGGACTTATGAAGTAGATTTTGATTTCTATTATACTAATTGTTACTTGTAAATTCAAAGCTTGAATATTCACACATGTTAAATATTTGATGTGATCAATGATTTAAACTTAAATAACCAAAGTCAGATTAACTTTAAGAAAAATAGATATGAGAAATAGTTGGAATTAAATTTCATTAATCTCCTCCTATGTATTCCTATTGATTCTTGCAAATGATTCTATTACTCATTGCCATTGAGTTCTCTATATTCATTCAGACCCAATTCCTTGGCATAAGAAATTCTAAGATATTTAACTCAATGAATGATTCCTCACTTTATTCAGTTAAATGTCTTGCATTAAGAATCAGAACTTGTTGTAATTATTAATTCCAAAACCATCCCTGGCTTTCAAAACTAATAGGTGATTTGTTTCAAATCTAGATTCAGGAAACGTTTTCCAACCAAATTATAAACCCAAGACAAAAAATAAAGGATCAGTTTATCAAAGCATTAAGAACAAAATACAAATCACTGACACTGAGTAATAGATGTAATATATATGAATAAAAAAGGAATACAAAGGAGTTTGATGATTACATGAATCCCAATCCTAGAGCTTTAGCTCTCCATAGAAGAAGAAAGCACAAAATAACAAGAGGAAAGGTAGAAAAAAAATATCATCCAAAGAATCGCGTTCCCACGAGCTCCAAGGTGCTCTATTTTCTTTTTCTTCTTCTTGCACACATCACCAAGTCACATTCAGATCCCAGGTATGTTCCCATGTTGTCCGTTCTTCGTTATAAAGTGACAATCTCATTCGTAACTCTCTTTTGCCTCCATTTTCTTCAAATTTAAGTTTACATTTCATCTGGCATGGTTAAGTTGCTACATTCCTCTATAATTCATGATCTAGGGTTTGGATTTCTAAAATAGTTCTATTAATTTTAAACCTTCGCGTGCTCATAAGGGTTAAAGGTTGTTACTTTCATGGATTGTGAGGATATAGAGGTATTATATTAGGTAAACAATTCTGGAAGTAAAGCACTCAGCACTTCCAAGGCACTGAGCAGATTAGAGACAGAAACTCAAAATGTTTAAAGCGCTCAGCATTTTCAAGGAGCTGAGCGGATTGAAGGTAGGAAGCCACAATGATCAAGGCGCTCAGCCCTTTCAAGGGGCTGAGCCGTTTATACCCTGTTAAGTTAATTATTTGGAGTTGTTCTAACAAATGCAGTTTTGTTGTTCCTTGTTTTTATTTGAATATAATGTAGATGGCCAGAACCAAAACTACTTCCCACACTCATGAGATTCTTGTAAGCAAGAAAAGGAAGGGTCAAGCTTCTTCCAACCCTCCTCCTAGTGATTTAGACAATGATGAGCCTGCCCCATAACCTGTTGCTCCAATCCGTTTGGATAGGCAACGATTCCTTACCAAGTCTAAACAACAAAGGTTTGCGGAATTGGAGCCTAGACAGAAAATTGCTGAAAGAAGAGTGGAGTTAAATGTAGGAGAATATATGGAATTTCAAGGACAGATAATAAGAAGGAAGTGGAACAAATTGGCTACCCCATAAAAGAAATATAATGAGGATATCATCAAGGAATTTTATGCCAATGCTTTCCCTCTGCAGAAGCATGATCAAACAAGGAATAGTTGGGTGAAAGGAGTCACATTCACCTATGCTAGGGACGCCATTAATGAATATCTGGGAAGCCCTTACAGCTTAGGAGATGATGGACTTGATGAGTATGGCTTACTGAAGAAGGCTCGTGCTTTTAAGGCTGATAAAATGGCCAAGCTTCTATGTTTGCCAGGTTGTACTTATACTGTGGGGGTGACAGGAAATCCAATCTCAATTCTTAGAAAGAACTTGACTACTATTGCACGCATCTGGCAAAATTTTCTGTATTGCAATGTGTACTCTATTACACACATCTCTAATCTGAATATGTCTAGGGCAACCCTTCTCTACTCTATTTTGATAAGGATGGCGTAAACATAACTTTAATTATTTCTAATGAAATACACAAGGCCGTCCTTTCTACTCCTTCTCTTACAGGAGTTTCTAAACCCCTGGGATTTCCAGGACTACTTACAGGGCTGTGTAAGGCAAGTGGTTCTCGCCTGCCAAAAAATTTGAAGAAATATCTCCGACCTCCAATCAATGCTTCATACATCAAAATCCATTGCAAGAGTGAACAGCAGGGTGACACTTCACTACCTAGATCTCAAAGACATTGGCAGGCATCTTCCGCTTCCCAAGTAGCTAGTCCAACATTCATGGCTGCTCATTTTCATCACATTGAACAACAAAATCTGGAAAATCACCTGGCATTGATGTCTCTCAACACCAGCCTTTACCATGCTCACCAGCATCAGTTTAATGGAGGCCCTCCATTCCAGTGGCCATCCCCAGTGACCTTTCAGCAATAGTTCCATTGGTCTGGGGACAGTCCAAATTTTGAGGGAGATGTAGAGGAGGAGCAGCCAGAGCAGGAAGCGGAGCAGGAAGGTGGAGATGAAATGGAAGATGAAGAAGGAGGCGAGGATGAGCATAGAGAGGATGCAGAGAAGAAGATGATGATGAGGAGGAGGACAACTGAAGGGTTTTTTAGCATTTTTTGTTTAGTTTAATTTATAGTAATTTTAGTTGCAGTTTTATTTTGGGTTACAGCAATTACTTTCAGTCTTTAATTTTCATGTTTTGGTTTAACTACCTTTACTTGGTAAGTACTTTTGGTTGTTTCAATTAACATGGATGCTTTATTTTGCGAGCATATAGTTTGGTAGTAAATTTTTTTTTGATACAGTAGTTTTTGACGTATTTTGGCAGTGATAACAAAATTCTTTTTGAAAAAAAAAATTGACAATCTTTTTGGAATAAGCATTTTCATGATTCAAGTTTTCAATGAACAATGTTTTCTAATCTAGGAGTTTACATTGTTGCACAAGTGGTTGTACATTGTTGACTTAAAGTGTGTGCTTCAAACATGTTCAAGTGAAATTGAAATGAGTTTGAAGTTGTTGATATCTAGGGCACTTAACCAAACCGTGTGAGTGAGTGGGCCAAACAGTTAAAATTCAGTTATTGAGAGTCATCACTGATTCATGCGGTCAATTTTGTTTAAGTCTCCCATGAGTTACAGTTAAGCTATGCATGGAATTTACTAAGGCAATTGTTCATTATATTTAACCCAGTAGCCATCAAGCTATCCCATGAGTTACATTGACCCTTGAGCAAACAAATTTGACCCTAAATATATAGAACCCTTAAGCTTATAAAGAAAATCCATGATTTTCCTTTAGCCTTGTTGGTAAGAGACATTCTCATGAAACAAGTGGGTTTAAGCCAAGTTGGGGGTAAAGATATGTAGTCTTCATGTGGTTAGAGTTGTACAGGCAAAGTATTGTTTTCTGTATATATTACTCAAAAAAAAAGAGTAAAGTTTATAATCAAGGTTCCTTGTTACCATTCCATCAATTGAATGCAAGATTTTAAAAGAGAGGAACCAGTAAATACAACCAAAAGAGGGATGAGATAGAAGAGTCAAAAGAATTCAAGCAAATGCAAGAATTTGATATAAACCCATATGAGTGAGAATGTTCTCTTGTCAAACAGGCCTTTAAATTCCCAAAGAAAAACCAAGTCTCTTATAGCCAAGTTGCATTACAACCCTCTTAAAGTCCTTAGTGATCCATGCTTAGTTCTAACAACAGACTTATGGGAGATAGGTAACAAAGCAGATATAGTGTGTTTTGGTGCATGAAAAGAGAGAAACAATCACCCTTCACGGCATATTAAAGAGAGATACACAATTGTGAGGAAACTTTTAGTGCTCTTGATTGAAAGCAATGGAAGATGAGTGGATATTTCTCTTGAGTATGCTTGATGTTCATAATTTTTGTTATCATGTGAGCACCATTTGTAGTAACACGTAAGCACTGGATTTTGCAAACAAGTTTTCATTGGACTCCATGAAACCATGTAAGTGCATTAACATATTTTTTTGGGTGAAACTTGAAGTGATTCACTAGGTATATAAGTTAAGATATATTATTATCTCAATCAAGAATTTTTGTTTGAGGACAAACAAATTTTGAAGTTGGGGGTAGCTTGATAAGTGTCTAACTAGTCTGATGAAATATAAATTTGAGACACTTATCTAGCACAATTTTTGTACATATTGATATAATTTTGGCCAATATACTTATAACTAAATAGGGACTCCTAATTTACGTTATTACAGGGAGTGATGAGTCTTTTAATCAGATTTGTGCTTATTTTGTAGGTTTTGAAGTCTGGAGGCAAACAGCTCAGTCCTTCAAAAGGGCTAAGCGCTTTCAAGTCAGAGAGCTTAACAAATACACCAAAGGAGAGGCGCTCAGCCACTCCCAAGTGTTGAGCGATTTTGGCCCTGGAAAAATGAGTGCTCTCTGCCTCCTAGGCGCTCAACGGATCTGAAGCGCCCTGCCCTTTTTCTTGCTTAATGGTGAAGAATCATCTAAGGCGCTTAGCGGATTTGAGGGGCTCAGCCCTTCAGATTA